CTGAACCCCTTCGCAGCCACAGTCTTTATTTACTTTTCTCCCTAATTTATTTTTGCCCCTCAAAAACAGACGTGGTTTAATTAATAAGCGCTTTGTTAATATAGGCATTTGTTTTAGCATGACAAATTGACTTATTTTAAAGCACAAATCCATGAACAAATTCATTTAGCTTCCAAAGAAAATGGCAGTAATTACAGTCCTGTGAAGCATATTTCTAGAAAACATCTGTCGCAACAAGTTTGAATATGAAGTTGAATTTAAAAAAAATAAAAATCTTTACAAGCTAATTAATGACCATTCCCCTTAATGTTCCAAAACGTTGAAAGGCTGAGGACAAGAGAAGCACATGATGTCCAAAGCAGGCTTTAATCAAGTAGAGTAAAAAAATTGAGAAGTAAAGTTGGGCACTTTTTTTGTTTTTCTTTTTAATTCATTTGTTAGAGGATTTTTTGGCTTTTGTACATGAGTGGCTTTGGTTTAGAGAAATTCTTGTGACTTGGAACAACAGTTTGTTTCTCAAGTATCTCACTTGTCAGACTAAGATGTTGTATCTGTACCTTATCTTGGACCTTCAGCGTGTTGGCATATCAGGACAGGTACTTTCAAATCTTGGCACCTGGCAGGAAGGAGAAGGTAACATTTCCAAAACAAGTTAACTTGTTATTTGGCAGGAAAATGGCAAAGGAAGAGGGAAAAAATAGAGGGAAAAACAAGGCAGAATGGGGGAAAGGAAGGCTGTAGACAAGCCAGAAAAACAAGGAGTGGCTTTTCAGAGTTGATTACTTGGTGATAATCATCAAGGTCCTGACCTGTACTACTGAGGACTGATTTTTCTGTTCAGAAGTGACTGAGCTTCCCCTCATGGGTAGTAGAGGAGTAATTTGCATTAAAGATGCTTCTTAGAGATGAAATGCACAATAAATACTTTATTTGATTCTGTATTCTCATTTCTCTTACCTTCCCTCTCCACATCCTTAAAATCAGAATTAGACTGCTGTGGCTTTTGCAGTAGTGCCATTTGAGTAGAATCAAACGTCTTTTTATGTTTGGAATGCAAGTTTACCTAAGTTTTGCACGTATTTGAAAGATTAGGACACAAGACGGTTAGAAATTTTCCAGTAAAAAAAAATGACTGATTAGGTCAGGCCTCTTCTGGTAGGGCCAGTATGTAATTCAAAGGGTTGTGTCTGAACTGGATTATGTACAGGACAAGCTGCAAAATGAATGAAACAAATTCATATAATGAGTAAAAACATGGAATATTGTTAGTGTTGGCTGTATGCACACAATATCTTTTAACTGTTAATTAAAATAATGCTGGGGTTTTTCATAATTGTTATCAGATGGTTTTTTATGCGTTATACTAAGGGAACTTTTAGGATGATAAGCTTACTGTTTCATATGAAAATATTACCGGTTTTAGCTATTGTTTGTATTTCCCTAATCTGATGCATGATAGCTTAACTAGTGGACATGCATGTGATAGACTTCCCAGATTTTCTTTTTTACTAAGCTGTCTTAACAGCTGAGCTGTTATTTCTGCTCTTTTGTGAGGGACTCATGATTACTTTTTCAATGACACTTCATTAAAGTACAAGGTAATCAGGTTATGGTAGCTTTAATTCATCATCATCTGAAAAAAAAAAAGTGGATAACCGAATTACTAAAGACTGGATAACCTTGTTTTCCAGCTTTTAGAAGCAGTGGTGGTGTAGAATAATCACACAATTCTCTGACTGCTGAAGATGATTTAAAATATTGCTTTTGATACCAATGTTCCAGTACTGGGATTTGGGGAAGTGAGACTGCAGTGAAACCTACTAGCAGAGGCCTCTTTTACTTTCCATTTACAACACAGTTAAGGATGTTAGCAGTCAAATGTGTTTGAGACTATACCTAGAGTTGAGATAGCAAGGGATGTGAAGGGCAGTGAAAAAGGCTTCTGCAGATACGCTGGTGGTGAAAGGGCAACTAGGGACAATGTGGGCCTGATGCTAAATGGCGTAGAAGACGTAATGTCAGAGAGGATGACATCTTTGCTTTGGTCTTTATTTGTAAGGCCTGTTTCCAGGTTCCTTGAGTCCCTGGGCCTAGCACACATGTCTGACGGACTGAGGTAGTAGGTTGTCTGCGGTAGAGGAAGAGCAAGTTAGGGGCAGGCTAGTTCTCTGAGCCGGACATGGAGAAGTTGGTGAGACTGGATGGGATACATCAGGGGGAGCTGACCAGTCTCATTGTGAGGATGGTCTCCAAAAGGTGGTAGATTTGGTGGCAGGAGGGCTCCCAGTAATTGGAAAAAGGAAAATATCACACCTGGCTTCAAGGAGGAGGATGTGGGGAAACAACAAGCTGGTCAGCCTAACCTTAGCCTTGAGGAACATTGTGGAGCAGATCCTCCTGACAGCCATGTCCTGGCTCTTAGAAGGGCAAGAAGGTGACTGGGAATAGCCAGGATGGATTAACGAAAGGCAAATCATGTCTGACCTGTTTGATGGCCTTCTGTGATGGGATGTGTGGCTCAGGGTACCAAGTTACCTTGGCTTGAGTGGTGGTTGAGGAGATGACCCCCCACACGCTTGGGAGGCAATGGGCACAGGCTGTGGCAAGGGAAGTTCAAACCATGTGTAAAGAACAACTTCTTTACAGCAAGAGTGGTCACTGGAACAGGTGCCTGAGAAGTACAGGGAATCTCCATCCTTCAAGATACTGGAAACTCAAGTGACTAGGGCCCCAGGCAGCCTCATCTGACTTCAGAGTTGACTGTTTTCTGCAGAGATTGTACCAGCTCATCTCTAGAGGTCCCTTTCAAGCTAAATTATGCTGGGATTCTCAACATATTTTGGAGGATTGAGGGTTCTGGTAGTGAAGTAGCCTGTCAGATGCAACCTAGAACGGTGTATGTGTATACAAATTTTAACCTCTGTCTCTTTTAAAAAGTCAGATACTTTGGAGCATCCTAACATGGTGTGGGAAGTGAAGACAAATCAAATGCCTAATGCAGTACAGAAACTCCTTCTGGTAGTGGACAAGAGAACTTCAGGGATGAATGAGTCACTGGAGTTGCTGAAGTGTAATGAAAATCTGCCCTCTTCTCCTGGATATGCATCCTGTGATGAACACATGGAACTTGGTAAATAATACGACCTTTTCAGAAGCAGCCAAATTCTTAAGTTTGTAGCAGTTTTCTTATAGTGAAATTACTGGAAGCTGACTGAATGAGATTACTGATTTTTAACTTAAGTAAGGCAGAGAATATGGCAGTGAATTGTGACATCTGAGGATCTTATTTTGCAGTCACACTTCCCTGTAACCCATATCCAGTTCTGACACACTGGCCTGTTGACTTAAATGTGTTCTTGAACTCAATGCTACAAATTTCTGCTCCTGATCTCCAGAGGAGCTTTTTTTGGCACAAGAGTAACAAACACAAAGCTCAAGAGCTCCTCCTGAAGGGAAATTATGCTGCTTTAAATCAGCTGCAAATAGATATTCTGGGCTTCAGTTCTCACACATTGGAGAAAAATAGCATGTATATTGGGAAGTATTGATATAATCAGTGAAATATTAACATATTTAATTGAAGTCATGTAGTGATTAAGAAAAAGGATGGTTGCTTGAGAGCATGTAACACAGACTTTTGTTAACAAGCTGGGCACTCTTCTGCTACTCTGTGTAATGTGAAACATGTAGCTTATTGATAGGAATTCACCCCTACCAGGCTGTATACCCATTTTTAATGACTTCTGAGTTACTTAATTCCAGTTCCCTGGTGGAAACCTGGAAAACTTTTACCTCGTACAGCCCCTGATGTTGATAATTTTTAGTGTCACACCTGCTAGGACAGATTAATTTACTTGCCCTTTGTTGAATGTTTTCGTATTTTAGTGAAGCATGATGCTACTTTTGTATAATTCTGTGGTACAATTCTGTGTCAGTCAGTAGTCAGTCTAGTAAAAACTTCAAAACCACATGTACATTTTTATCTAGTTACTTAATGTTTTCTTAAATTGCTTGTATGACTGTATAGTAGACTAGAGATGTGATTATTTCTGTGGCCATTTTGTCAATATTATAAACAGGGTTTGTGAAATGTTGGTAATTGTGATGAGAAAATAAAATTAGTTACTTCATTGTAGATCCTTTTTGATTTTTATTTGCAAGATTTGGTGTCAACTAGAATATATAAGTGGATATAATTATGGTAATTTGTGCATTTATTTGTAGATGATCTTCCTGAACTACAGGCTGTGCAGACAGATTCTACCCCACCTGCACTTTTTCAGCTCGGTGCCGATGTTTCACATCAGGAATGTTCAAGGCCTTCATGGAGCCAACATACCTCAAACAGTGATTCAGAAAGTGCTTATTCCTGTGAGAATGGGGTGAACTGGTTGACAGAATTAGCAAATATAGCCACAAGTCCTCAGAGTCCTTTGATGCAGTGCTCTTTTTATAACAGGTACTGACATTCATTTCAATTTTGAACTCTCAGATTTATAGTATTTTGTCTCCAGAAACATTTCCTTCACTCCTCATACCCTCTGACTTTGAACTGGAGCCCTATTTTTGATCTTTGTAAATAGTAACTTTATTCTTCTACGGAAGATTGCACAGGATTAGTTTCAGAGCCTGTTGCAAAAGCTGCTTAATTGCCAGCCACGAATGAGGTAGGATGGTATAAGGACATTACCTAACCCACAGAAGGCTCAGGAATTACAGGCATTTACTTCATGTGAAGTAGCAGATGAAAAATTAAGATGAATTTGTTGCTTTAAATTCTTAATACTTACTAGTGCACTGACTTCAGGTGTTTTGTTTTTTTTTTTGAAAGAGGTAATTGGAAATCTAATGCAATGTAGTTTGTATTGGTACTGTTTCAGATTTGTGATCTGTAAATTTCATAAGCCTGTGAGAAGCAATGTGGGATCTTAGAAATTTCTGGGCTTTACCTTTTATTTGGTCTTAGATTTATAACAACGAAATTAAATGCAGTAGTGTTAACAGTAATGTAGTTGGGTTTTAATCATTACGACAGAGTAGTTGTCTTTACGTGCTCTAAGAATGGGGTATTCACCTCAAGATACTTGTAAAAACTTGAGCACTGTGACAAGCAGATGTTGATGTGGAGTTACTGTCATTTGCATGGTATATAGAAGCTATGCGGGAGTTATGCTAAAAACTCCCTTTGTCTGAGCTTGCACCCTTTAATCATCCCATTTGAATACTGGTGTGTGGGAAGTTTACTTGGTATTCAGCTCACACCAACAAAGATTTGTTAAATAAAAGCATTTTAGAGTAATGGCATCCAAGTCTTGTGTTGTCTTAATCTGAGATATTTCAAAATACATTTTTTCTATTGTAGATCATCTCCTGTTCACATAATAGCTACCAGCAAAAGTTTACATTCCTATGCACGTCCGCCACCAGGATCCTCAAAGAATGATCCTAACTTCTCCAGGAATGATTTGGATGAAACACCAGTCAGACATGAAAGGGTGAGTTGTTCTGAAACATTTCTAAAATAAAGAAGCATGAGTAATGGGTTAAGCTTTTGAAAAGAGAGGCTAGTTTAAAAAAATCATCTGTTTAGTTCTAATTCCATTTCTGTTTAAGCTAGATTTTCTGTTACTTTTCTTCTTAGCAGGCACAGTAGGCTTCTAGTGCTACATCACAGAGTCTACATTTTGGTGAAGAGATCACATTCTAACAAAGCTCTGTTCCTCTTGTAGTTCCTTCTATAGCAAGCTTTAAAAAATTCTATTAACTTGCTTGCTGTCTCGAAAAGGAAATACAGAACCATCTCCGTTTAGACACACAAAAACTGTCAGTCCTGCTTCTCCCTTTGCTGTATATTAATTTGTGTATGAAACTTGTCTGTTAAAGACATGGAGTGATTTATCCCAGTGATTTATCTAGAACTGACTTGGCCCTACAGCTTTCCAGTAATTTGACCATAGAGTGACATGCACTTTGAGTAGTTGTGTGAGTGACCAAGGAGTGATAGCTTGTAAAGTGCTTATACCTAAGCATAAGATAAACCATAGGTACGTGAATGAATCTCGGAGAACAAAACCCAAAAATTTCAGGATGACACATTTCAAGAAAAGGAGATGAAAATACTCCATTCACATTTACTGCATGCCTTGAATCTTTGTCTTCATGTTACATTCCTAACAGTATTAAAAGGCAGAATGGTGACACAGATACAAATTAGAGAATGTGTCTAAAGACATAAAACAGCAAAACAAAAGCCCTAAAATCTTCTGCAGTAAAATATCAATGCCATTTTGCTTTTTTTAATAGGCGAATAGCGAATCAGAATCTGGCATTTTCTGCATGTCATCACTTTCAGATGATGATGATTTAGGATGGTGCCATTCCTGGCCCTCAACTGTTTGGCATTGTTTTCTGAAAGGTAAAATAACACATATCCACTATTAAGTATTTTTTTTGTCTTGTCTTTTTTTTCCTTTTTTTTTAACATAACGCTAATGCTTTTTTTTTTTTTTCCTTGAAAAAATCTATTAGGTTCTCGTTTGTGCTTTCATAAAGGACGCAATAAAGAGTGGCAGGATGTTGAAGATTTTGCAAGATCTGAAAGCTGTGGAAAAGAGGAAAATCTCCCAGCAAGTCCTTACAAGGTAGCTGTTAGTTCTAGTAAATTAATGTCAATACTTGTAGCAAATACTTAGTTTCTTACGTTATCCCTGTGCCTTTAATTACTGTCTTAGGAAGACAGGTTTATACTGAACTTCTCTAGAGCCGATCAGTGTACTATTTGAGTATCTTGCTATCAGGCGATTGAACTGAATTCATTTAGGTATGTTTTGAATGTTATATTTATTCATTTTTTATATCGTCTTTATTGAGAACACTTAGAATGTTGGTATTTTTTAATATAATGTAAGATGATGACTATACACCTATAGCATACACAGGCATATACCTTTCTTGAGGGGGAAATTTTGAACTGTATGTACGTTTACAGGGCTACGGTTCTGATGGTTTGAAGTTGATTTCTCATGAAGAAAGCATTTCCTGTGGTGAGTCAGTGCTGAAGTTGACTTTTGATCCCGGCACAGTGGAAGATGGCTTGCTTACAGTAGAATGCAGACTCGATCATCCTTTTTATGTTAAAAATAAAGGTATGAAATACTACAAGTATACTTGGTTGTATATTAAATATTGTTAGAAAATGGATGCAGATTTTATTGGCGTCCCATGTTGCTCAAGACAGATAAAAGCAGTGTTGTAGAATCAATTTACTACCTTTGTAAAGAAATCCAGAATTTGAACAAACAAAACTGTAAAGCTACAGAAATACTGCATATCTCATAAGGAAAGATTTAGTCAAGTATATAAATGGAGTTCAGGAAAACAGAAAAATTGGGGGGAGAAAGGAGAGCTGCAAATAAGGGAGGCTTTTCTCACTTGCTACATGGAACTTCTGATTAAAGTTTCCTGGTTTTGATTACTTTTTTTACTAGAATGAGGTTTTACTTGAGATAAAAATAAGCTATGTGCAGTAAGAATTCCCTGAGTAAATGTTTCTGATTTTTCTTTTGGGTGAAAGAAACTACATCAGAACATTTTTATAAAATGATATAATTTAAAGATGTAGGATTGCTCCAGTTAAGAACTAGAGAGATTGTCTGGCCGTTTGTCTAATTTAACTCTTTACCACTTCAGGTTGGTCATCTTTTTATCCAAGCTTGACTGTGGTACAGCATGGCATTCCATGCTGTGAAATGCATCTTGGAGATCTGTGTCTACCTCCTGGACACCCTGATGCCATTAACTTTGATGATTCAGGTGTTTTTGATACATTTAAAAGGTAATTTTTGGATAAAGTGGCCTCAGTGGTTTTTGTATTTAATGAGTAGGCACCTTAAGTCTACAAGGATTTGAAGCATTATGTAGAGCAAAGAGAGAATACTTTTGGTAATATGAGATAAATGAGAGGGAAAAATGAAGACTGAATACTAGGAAAGCTGTGTAATGATGTACTCTGCTAAACTGCAAAGTAGTATCTTGGAGAGAAATAACTTTTCAGCCCCTGTTTATGATAGTTTAAGCCAGATTAGATAAAGCAGTAAAAATATATATATATTATATATATAAATTCTTCAGGTAAAGTGGGTTATGTTTGAAAAACCTAGTACAGTTTTTCCACAATAGTATGTCTGCCAGCTGTTAACTTGTGCTTCATATGCAGCTATGTATCTGAATTATCTGAGTAGTTTCTTAGTAAATAGTGCATGTGCTATGGCTTTAGAATACAATACTTTCATAATTAGGTTTTTTTAATGTATTCTGCTTTTTGTGATTCTTTTCTAATATATCAAACTTGTCTAACTTCCAAGTTTCATTAACTTTGAGGTTTGCCTTGCTTTGAGCAAGAGGTTTAACCAGATAACCTTCAGAGGTCCTGTCTAACATAAATTATTCTAAGATTCTAAGGAAATAGTATTCCTCATAAAGATTTTTCCATACTATTTTGAGATTTCTAAATTAAGTAGAATCCATCTTCTCCTATGATTTTTAGCTTCTTTATTGCATCTGTTTTTGGTCCAGTTGCTTTTTGGTTTTTTACAATGGAAAAAATTGAATTTAAAATGCTGTTTTCAGTTCAAGCCTTAGGAGCTCTGCTATGATTTCAGTCAGGGGTAGAGAGCAAGTTCAGATTGCTTGTCTTCACTCATTTGCTGTCTGTTTTTTTTCTTCTTATTAACTCCTCTTTTGAACTGCATATGTAGAGAGCTGTTACAATCATTATATTTACATCTTACTGAAAAAATTGGGCCTGTGTCTCCTTACTCATCCTGCAGCTTAGCTGAATACTGTCTGGACACTTCAAACTTCTTGTCTCTCTGAGCAGAAGGGAGTAAGTCACTGAGAAAGAAGCATGCAGCAGCAGCTGTGGTTAAGAGGACAGAAGAATTAAAAAAAAAAAAACAAAATTCTGTTGCTGTGTTATGGGAAGGAGATTAGGAATAGGAAGGGCACTGGACTGTTTGTAGAACAGAGTTCCTTTTTCCTTGTGAACTTGCCTGCAAGGATGTCGGCCTTATCCCTTCTTTGTTGCTTTTTACTTTTTTAAGGGATTTTTGAGACAACCGATCGGGTTCCATCCTTGCTTTTGGTTCCATCCCACAGATAGGGGCTGGACAACCACTGGTAGCATTTCCTTGCTAGGAGTTCTACTTCGTATTTGGAAAAAAAGCTCTTCAAAGCCCTTATCTTTTCCATAAATTATGCAACTATAGCCACATCAAACAGTGAGCGAGTGGAGCCTCAGAGTTATATATATTTATGTTTATTTTGTGGTGGTAACTTAATGTTTTAGATTTATGATCGAGTAGCACCTTTACAAGTGTATTTTCCCCATATGGCATGCTAAAGACAGTATTCCCAGATGGATCTGCACACACCTGGAGATGATAACAAATAGTTATGTGCAATTAAACTTTCTCTGTAGTGGCTAGAGGTTAATTGTAGTTGTTGGTCACAAAAAATTACAACAGTTTATAGTATTTGGAGATCTAAACTGTATGGAAACGACTAATCTAAACTGTTGAAGTACCTTGAAATGCCAAGGAGTCTCAGATCTTTGTCACTAGAGGGCAGACGATTGTCAGCTTTGAATCAAATAGTATGCAACATCACGGGTCTTCAAACAATTTCTTAGTCTCAGTGGAAGTTTTGTCTGTAAAACAATATGTATTTGACTGCCTAGAGAAGTTATTTATAAAATAGTGTATATGATATAATTTCTTTCAATATAGTGGTTTCATATTTGTAATTAATACATATTTGCAAGTGAACTCAACTCTTCCCACATCGGTCGTCCCTTTCAGTACTTAATCATTCACTGACTAGATTTGATTTATGGTAAGGACAGAAGCAGAAAGAAAGAAGCTTATTTCAAAAGACGATGAAATTTGAAGACAGTGTGTACTTAATTTATATGCAGTTGGGGATACATGCAGTTATATGGGGAGTTGATTGTACACAGGAGATCTTGCAAAGTTGCAGTCCACCATCACATTGAAAAAACTATTAATTAATCTGCCAGAGTTTTGTGGTGGTTTTTTTTTTTTCCCCGCACTGACATCTGCATCAAGCACAAATCGTGTCACACAAAAGAGACCAGAATACTAGAAATGTAGTACAGATGAAAAGTAAACAGCAATTTTATATGAAAATTACTTGATCATTTTATGATATGTCTTTTTTTTGTAGTTACGATTTTACACCCATGGATTCCTCTGCAGTTTATGTGCTAAGCAGTATGGCTCGCCAGCGTCGCGCTTCTCTGTCTTGTGGAGGATCAAACAGTCAAGATGCTGAGAGATCAGAATGCAGTAGTAAAAACTGTGTGCCTACTGCATCGTCACATCTTTCCTCCAGTTCTTTGTACAGCAAAGCTGGCAAAAGCCACAGCTCAGGGACTGCAAGTACTGTGAGTGCCACTTCTCCAAACAAGTGCAAAAGACCAATGAATGCCTTCATGCTTTTTGCCAAAAAATACAGAGTTGAATATACTCAGATGTATCCAGGGAAGGACAACAGGTAATGGTAGAACATTGTAGTTTTGTTATTACTAGTGAGCTAGCAGAATATCTGTCCCACCTTTAAATTTAAGTGGAATGAATTTTGTGTTTGAAATAATGTGTGTGTATGTTGTTTTAAGAACAAGTTTTGAAGGATGCTGACACAAAGTTTAATTTATGGGCAGACTTCAAATATTTACAGTACTCGGTAAATTTGACACAAGCCATTTTTTGCAAACCTACCTTCTGAGAAAGCATTTGGGTAAAGCAACTGACATATGTATATATATGTCACAGATATGCAACAGTCTTTGTTTACACTGATGAGAAATGTTCATGGGGAAGAAGGTACCCAGCTCTCTTGCTCACGTGTTGTGATGGAAAAAGGGAATCTCTGATTCTTCTAAGACTTGACATCATATTGCAAATTGTTCAGTGAAGTTACTATCATTTATTCTCAGTCTGTATATCATATTAAATTATAGAGTACTGATTGTTAGGGTGTCTGAACGATCTTAATCCCAACAGTACATTGCTAAATTTTGCTTGTGCTAAAGGTGTTGAACAATCTGGTGAAACTTGCAGGAAGGGTCGTATGACCGTGTCTTTGGGGGAGGGTTCTTTCTTAGTTTGTTCTTACCTATATGCACTTTCACGTCTAAACATTTTTATATAAAGATGGCCATTATATGTGTTTTAAATAATATTTTATGCTAATTGTGCATATGTAAATGTAAACTAAAACACATGAACATGCACTGATGTTGTTATGAGATTTTTTTATGTATATAACATGAAAACTGTTACTGTAAAAATTGCATTGTCACATAAAAATTCTAGTACTAAGTCTGGTAAAAACCAAAGGTGACAGGCCTTTGAGAAGCTTTTTGCTATTTCATAATGTTCTCATAAGGAGGCTGTAACTGGTGTTGAGAAATAAAATCCTACCGTACAAATAACCCATCCTTAAACCCCAGCCAGTCTTGTGTGCCCTGGCAGTGACGTTCTGTAATGTTTATAGTAATTTCAGGGAAGCAGATCTGCTGCCTTCAAATTCATTGCAACTATCGATGAGAAATGGAACAGAATGTCAGCGAGGAAAGTTTATGATGGTTACAGATTGAATTTAAAATGCTGATTTTCAAATTGATGCAGTGAACTGCAGCTGCAGCTGGATGGATGTGAAAAGGAGTTGAGTATTTCAGTGAGCAGGTTTACCCTGAAGGACAGTGATGACAAAGTTACAAGTAAGCTTCAGAATGCGCTGCTCAGTGTCCCGTTTGGAAGGTGGTGCATTTGGATGCAGTTTCTTGGCATCCATAAAACGTCGTACAGAAGAAGTCATAAGAGGTAGTGATAATTGATTTTAGAGGCATTCAGCTACTGTTACTTGAGTGTTGCTGGGGCATTTATTAATTTAGCTGTTCAGAGGCAGCTTTCATGTTTGTTAAATGCATGATTACCAAGAAGATCCTGTGCTTGGTTACATATAGCACCCATTTCTATACACTGGAGTTACTATGTTTGCTACAGTTACTTTATTTTTCGTAATGCATTGTAGGAAAGGACAGAACTTCAGGTATTCTACTTAAATGGTCTGTCCTGAGACAAAGTAGCTCAAGCCACGTCAACAAGATAGCAAGCTGTAAATGTTCAAAACACAAGTCAGCATTCACATGATATTTAAAAACAGTGTGGACCGTAAGATCTTACTTGAGAAACTGGATAGTCTCAGTGTAACCATAGTTGGACTCGATTGTGCGTTCAGAAATACTTGAATAATTTGAGTAGTGTACATTGTAAAGCTGAAGAAAATCACCTAAACTATTATGAGCATTTGTTCACGCTGAACGTAATTATTGAGTAAACTTGAGACATTCTCAACTACTGTTTGACAGTTTCTTTTGAATTAACTGCAGTATAAGGGATTGCATCCGGCGCATTAGTCTATTGCTGAAATGTTGTCAAGTGTCGTGCCAGCATTTTAAGAGGACAAAGGCAGCGTACAGAGCACTGCGAAGTTCCGATGAGGTCAAGGGCACATAGGGCAGTGATGCAGTAGGGTCAATTTTTTCTTACTTGTTTCTGGTTAGGAGAATTAGGTCTCTTCTGTCAGGAAATTTCTCTCTACACATCTTTTTTTCAGTCTCAGTGGTTTGCTTGTAGAAATATTTCCGTGGAGAAATGGAGCATTTGTCTCTGCATTAGATTTTCAGGCTTTTTAAAACATGCAGATCTGTACTCACTTTCAGTGCCTCAGAGCAGTTTTGTCTCTGGAGGTATAAAATACATATGTATTTTTGCATTTGAAATACAAATTTCAAAGTACATTTTTATTTGGAAATGCAATGGCTTTTTCAGCACACCTGCTCTCTCTGGGTCACCATGTTCTTTCCTGGGGGTATGAGTGACCCAGTACAAACTGGTGACCAAAACCAGACGGGTTTCTGGTGCTGTTGATTTACCTCTGCCAAAACATGAAAAATCAGCTAATTGAACTGGAGTGTGTTTACTTCTGATGACAGACCAAAGATAACGGTTCCTCATATGGATAGAAAACCAGAGATTCCACTGCCAAAGAGACAGGCTGTGCAAGTGGGTTTGATGTTGATGGGATCTGGTTGCAGTTTGAGGAGTTTGCTCTAAGGAGTCACCAGAGCGTGTGACGGCGCAGGCTTAACGGCAGCCCCAGTGGAATTCTTGCTCTGGTCTCCGAGTGGTCTGCAGCTCGTGGAAGCCTGAGCGGTACCATTACGTGATCTTGCAGGATTAAAATCCATTTTCTTAGTATGGTGCAGAAAAGCCTTCAGAATTGCTGTAAGTGAAACGCTGTGGAAATGGCTGATGATACTCTGCTCTTCTTGATTCTGTTAGAAAGTCTGTGAATAGCTTTGCTGCCAGCAGGGAACTTCTTCATATGATAAAAGCAAAGTGGTTAGTTGTGTACACTTTTTTCTTAAAGCTGGTCATAGAACTTTCATCACTGTAATCTGAAGCCAAAGCATACCTACTCAGTAGTTTAGCAATTACTGATAAAAGAGCTGTTGTTTAGAGATTTTTTCATTCAGCTAAAGGATGGAGTTAAAGCTTTTATGGAATATTGATCCAACATTTGGGAGTGCAGTTAAGCGATATGGCGTGATAATATGGAGAAATGCTGTCCAAAAGACATCAAGTTTGTAAGGAGCAGGAAAAGCAATTCATTCAGCTTCTGGAAATGATGCAAGGTGTGTTAGAACAAATGGTTTCTTTTGCATAGGAACGGGAACTTACCAGTATGTTCCGCCCACTTGTGTTCTCCCCAGCAGGGATTAAAGGTGGAGGAAGCTACATGCATCTACTAAATAGGCATGGGGGTTTGCAGTTAATCAAATATTTGTTTGGCTGAGGTCATATTCAGATCATTGCCCTAATTATTAGAGAACATGCTTGCAGCAAATCTGTCATATGATCTAGTAGGAAAGTAGAGCAAAACAAATGTGAGTTACCATTTGGTGGTGGTTTAACATCCCTATTTTGCTGGTTTATGCAAGTTGCTGTGTATTCAAATGCACACCCTTTGAAATGGTGGAATGTGCACTGACCCATGCTCAGCTAACACACAAGTCTCATCTGTTTAGCTGTTAAAAGAAGTATGAGGAGGTAACCAGAAACATGATTGGTTTTTAAAAAAAATTGTAAAGATACAGTTGATGTCTTTTGTGTCTGTTATTTCCACATTTAGCTTTTGTCTCCTTTTTAAAGTGCTGAGATAAAAAAGAAAAAAACAAGGGTATTTATTAACACCCTGCCTGACCATACTGTAAACATTTATTTTGCAGAGCCATAAGTGTGATACTCGGTGACAGGTGGAAGAAAATGAAAAATGAAGAAAGGCGGATGTACACACTAGAAGCCAAGGCCTTGGCGGAAGAACAGAAACGTTTAAATCCTGACTGTTGGAAACGAAAACGAACAAATTCTGTATGTTTGTGAAGCAGTCTTTTTCATTGTGCTGTTAAATGCATTCATACAGTAGCTACAGTGGTTTTTCTTCAGGAGAAACTGCTGTCTACTTCTTTCTTGGTAGCACAGACTTTCATGTTACTCCCCTGTGTTGTGTAATCTGCTTTTGGACGGTTGGCAGGAGACAGATCAGGAGAGGGTCTGTCTCTGAATATTTTATGGGAGTTCTCTGAATTCTGTTGGACTGTAACTGAGCATGCTTGTGAAAAGCAGAGGAAGGTCCTTTTATTTGAAGTAACTTGAGTTCATAATGTTGTACCTAAATTACATCTGTCTGTTCCCCTCAGAAACAAACTTGACGAAATCCTTCTCTGTTGTGATTCAGTCTCCTTTTTCCTCAGTAAAAGGTTTTTCTTTACCGATTTCCATCTTTTTTTCTGGATAATTTATATCAGCATATATGAAGTTATTGAGAGCAAATTAATTTTTTTCCCATTAATCCCTTTCATTTATTACTCTGTTTTAATTGTAAAATAAATACAATAGATT